GATGCCTCTGTTTTCTTTCACTAAGAGCTTACACTAAGGGAAGACTATCATTATACGCTGAGGATCTTAGATATAATCATAAGGGCTGGGAAGCTTTTACCTATGCTTTTACTCTAAGCTCCCTTCCTAATCTTCCTTCCTTATTAATGACAATTTTTTCCATGTGGGACCATCTATGAAGCACCCATTAATACCAATAAGATATCGGACTGTTGATAAATCAGTGAATTAGTTTGCCTCTTAAATGTTGCCTCTGTAACACAAATTCTGCTCCAAACTTCTGTTAGGTGCAATGTGGCAATTTTTTTTTTTTTTTTTTTTTTTTTTTTTTACTGTTTGAGATGTCATACCTTTGTTTAAACTTTAATATTAAAATGAATACTGATTTTCTGTTTGTGGGCTACTACTGCCACCTACTTTTTATAATGACTCCAAATAAAGTATATATTAAATCAGATATTCCTCTAATATTATTATTTTCTTATGTTGTTAATAGGCTATAAAAACAAAATGTTATGCAAAAGTGTTATGCATCAATACACACACAAAAGAAAAGGCATGCCCAAACCTTTGAAATTGAAGATTTCAGCCCCAGTCTGAGAGACAACCCCACATGTTGAGGAAAGGGAAAAAAATCTCCCAGCAAATGCACCTCTTGACATTAAGTAGTGAAGACAATAACCTAAGTAAAAGTTGAAAACATAACATAAGGATTCAAGAACACACATATATCCCCAAAACTGATTACATTTTCTAGGGAAAACATTTAAAAATATTAACATATACAGTATTTATTGGTTCAAAACCCATGTTGGCAGCCAGAGCAAAACCATCAGGAGAAGTATCAACATAGCCTGGTGGGTGGATAAACCAACATGGCTAAGTGCAAGTACTTTGCATGTTCCCAGCATATGCAAATGATATGTTAAGATTGGCTGTTGTACCAGTTTGGCAGCCTTTGGTCTGATTCTATTCCCATGCAAGTAAAAATATTTAATCCTTTGCCACTGGAAGTTCATCTTCATAATGGCATTTGCAGCAATCACACAAAAAATGTTTTTCTGTTTCAGCTTTCTTCAGAGAGCTTACAAAACTGGCTGAGTGTTCCTGTAGGAATTGTGTTGCAGGGATCTCCTCCGGGGGTCTGTGTGAACAAAGGAATAGTTGTCACTTGCAATAAATGGTATTTATTGAATCCCATTATTTAGAAGGAAATGCTCTTTTCAATAGATTATACAATGTAATTGTACCATACTTCTGTGCAGTGCTACACCACTGTGTCAAGTGCTGTAGAGCATCTGTGTCTTCTCTTTCTTGTGGTTCATCCTCAGCTGTGTGAAAAAAAAATCCAGTAATTCAAACTACTTTTTTCCTAATTGTGGGCCCAGACTTCAGCTCGTGTAAATCAATAGAGCTTCAGTGTTGTTCAGAGTTCTGCTGATTTATGCCTGCTGTAAATCTGGCCTCCTGTTTGAATTTAATGTCAGGAAATATGAAATCATCTTACTGAGTCAGCAGTTTTCTAGCTTTGTTAATGGCGTTTAAGCTTCTCAAAAGACAAGTCTTCAAAAAGACCTCCAACAGGTGCCCAGTCTCTATGAAACCTGCAGTCTGCACCCCACTTGAGGACTACTGTGCCTAGTTCAGGACCCCACACATTATCTAAGGTTGTAAATATAGTGCCTAATCCCTAAATAAATCCACACCTATATACTGAAATTTGACTTAGTTACTCTTTGCAATGTTATCCTAGTTGTGTTGGTCCCAGAATATTAGAGAGTCAAGGTGGATAAGGTTCTGTCTTTCACTGGACCAACTTTTGTTCATGAGAGAGACAAGCCTTCCAGCTACACAGAGCTCTTCTTCAGTTGCGAGAAACATACGCAGAGTGTCACAGCTAAATACAATATGAAACAGATGTTTAGCATCAGTAGTTACATATATTTCAAGTGATCATTAGAGGTGAAGTGGCTAGTTAATGTCTACCCAATCATAGGGAGAACAATGGTGGAGGAGAAGACAGTGGGTTTTAGATTGTTATAATAATCCATAAATCTAGTGTCTCTAAGTCTTTGATTTTCAGTGTCTAGCAAAGTTCTGAATTTAGGCTCCCAGGCTTGCCTTTTGAAGGTCTTGTGCAGGTTTCCTTGGAGGACAAGGTCAGATATAGAATGATCACTTTGTGAAAAAATGTTCACCTGAAGACGATAAGGTGTTTTTGTCTTTTATTCGTGTTCTGTGTCAGTTTATTCGAGAGTGTAATGATTGTCTCATTTCACCCCCATGGTTATTACTGGGGCATTTAGTGCATTGGATGAGCTACTGTTTGTTAGAATCTCTCCATGCTTGAATTTAGAAGAAACCAATCCATATTATTGCTCAGATTTTTTAAGTATACACCTTAGATTGTGTATTGCGGCATGGCCAGTCCTCATCTGCACAGCATCATCTGACTGCATATATGAATATCAGAGTTTTAAAGCCAAAATTTCTGTTGTGCATATGCAACACACTTATAAGAAGTATATTTCCTCTGTATGTCTAATGCTTTCAGTTTACAAATTTAGCTTCACAGACCTGGTATTATGATTTCATCAGTTTAACGGTTACAAAACATAGAGGCGTCAGTCACACCATTAAGTTAAAGTTAATCAGTAACTAGGCTCTTCATCCTACAATCTCTTGTTTTATCTAATTCCTACCACTTTTCTTTGCTGTAGACTGTAGATTTCTAGAAGGGATTTATAAGTCCGAGTTTGTTTAATGTCTAAAACTATTAGTTTACATATGGAGCATAAAATGACTGTTGCATTTGTTAACATAGAAGGCCTATTTTCAAGCTTGTAGTTTTTAAATTAATTTTTAAAGTAGGTGTAGATAGTTGATGGTAGGGATTCATATGCGATATGTATGCAAGCCTATTCTAGACTTAGTGCTATAACAGTATAAACTAACCCAGTGTTGAAAGGACAGTGAATTTTCAACAACAAAACTTGAATATTTCAATGTACATAAAGAAAAATAAGGACTCATTGGATGACTGCTATTGAACATTTGGTATCTGAATAAATCTGACATAATAAATTGATATTGATCCTGCTGGCCAGAGATTATGAGCTAAGGGCCAGATTTTGGTGCCCTTATTCTACAGTTAGAAGACTTCTGTTGACACACAGCTCTGCTTATCCTTCACTACATACAACCAGACTTCTACCATCAAAATGCCCTAATGCCTGGATGAGGTCAGCTCATGGATGAAGAATATCTGGTTGAAGTTGTATTTTGAAGAGCTTAGAGCCATGGTTTAATCTCCTTTGGCTACCCACAATTGGTCAAATTAGGCTGTAATTTAGGAGTGATTGGAGTATTTGCTGACATTAAGCTTCCACATAACAGCATTTAATGCTTTATGCCATCTTTAGTTGGCTAGAAGACTTTCTCACAATCTTGGCAGATGATGATTTGGCCTCAGTTACTTACACATTTGTCACCTCCTGGCTTTACTACAGCAATAAAATATATTGGGGCATGAAGCCAACAGCATTTAGGAAACTCCACATACAGAACTCTGCAGCATGTCTCCTCAGCAACATCAGTTAGCACAAGCACATCAAGGCTGTCCTCCATCTCTATGCTGATTTCCTGTGGACTATCAAATGCAGTTGAAGATTTTGGTCCTTATCTTCAAGGCACTCAATAATGTAGGCCGAGGTTATCTAAACATTTTCCTGAAATCCTGGAATGAAGGCTGTGGTCAGTAATTCTGCTCCTTATGTACAATGAAACTTTCTACTTTAAGGATAAAATTCATCTGTGTGGAAGAATTTCCACAGGGAACTAGTCTCAGGCCAGAAATAAACTCCCACAACAAGTAAAGACCTTCACAAACCTAACCACCTTCCATTGCAAATGCAAAGTGAAATTCTTTGAGCTTGTCTCCTCTACCATACATGTATAGCAGTGTGTACATTTAAAAATAACCAAAGAAAACAATAGTTCAAACAAAACACCATTCTGTACACACAGTTGTTTCTCTAGCCCCTGGGCTACACTAGGGGATAAGTTCGAATTAAGATACACAACTTCAGCTACGTTAATTGCATAGCTTAAGTCGAAGTATTTTAACTCAGATTTTGGTGCCATCTGCACTGCAGGAAGTCAAAGGGAATACACTCTCCCTTCGACTTCCCTTACTCCTCATAGAAGCAGGACTACTGGTATTAATGGGGGCACCCTCTCAGTTCAAATTAGTGTGTCTTCACTAGACCAGTTAATTTGAACCCCAGAAGATTGACTGCAGCTGCTTCCATCTTATCTGTAGTGTAGACATAGCCTGGGAGAGGTTGACAGAGAATGAACTGCAAAGCTGCTCACGTACTATGATGATGAAGGCAGTATAAGAAACTATGTAGACTAGAATAATGTAAGAGTATATATACTGACATAAAACTTGAAATATGGAATGCACACAAGTAGAAGCCAGCGACTTGGAAGTTATGCCGAAATGCCAACATTTTGGACACAGGCACAATTCAAACATCAGGAGAATGAGAAGGCAGCAATTAATTCTAAATCATTCTGTGAGAGAGATCTATGGCTAGCCCTTCCTGCTTTCATGGAAATGAGATGAATACTGCACTGCCTCTACATTTTTGTCCTTTCTTGACTCTATCGAATTCTTCATGTTGGCTCTGCAGGTTGGGGGGAGGCAAGGTTTGTAATTTTCAATGTCTTTAAAGACATGACAAATTAAATAGAAAAACAATTAGAGATTAAATAATTATAAGATTATATTTCATCTCCCTGTTTTGACATTTCAGCAAGTAACTAGTATGTCTTACAAAGGATACATTCAAAGGACATATTCTTCCTAAGCAGTGTCTTAACAAAAAGTCTTAGAATAACTATTAAAGGATTAACTTCCCTTCATGTGTTTGCATCTGATTTTTTAATTATGTAGCTAAATTTCTCAAATGAATTTCTTTTCTTTACATTTCCAGACTTGATCCTGCCCCATCAATGACCTCAGGCAAGCGCCCGTCAGAGATGTCATCACTAGAAACTCAGAAAAATACAGCTGAGCCGGAGGACCTCTTTGATGACATCTAACTAGGCTTTTTATTCTGTTTTTGCTGAGGAAACCACTAGAACAACATTCCTGTTCAACACTGGGTGTTAAACCATTCAGTTTAATTACACATTGAGCTGAAACCATTGTATATAGAGAGATATTCTAGCTCATCTGTATAATCACATCAGTTGTCAAAATCTTTCACTCCAGACATTCAGTCCTTGGAACTGATCTTTAGATTGATGTGTGTCACTCTGGTGAGGCCTTGAAGCCCGAGGCTCCTGTGCCACCATCTCTTGTGTCGGGGGGGTTTCTGGGGGAAGAGTGCCAGGCCAGGAGATCTTTACACTCCCAGCAATCTTTGGTTACTCTGGGGATCAGGTGGTGGCTTAAAGCCACCTTGTACTTTGCCTTCCCACTCCACCATTACCCCCTTTCCCAAGATGCACAAAGCACAGTCCAGGAATTGGACTATTCCCCCACAGTATTGAGGTGTTTATTTTAAAAGAATGAGTTTAGAAATTGTGCCTTGTGACGGAAAACACCTGTAAAAGTTTAATTTCTGGCTGTTCCATAAAGCTCTCAAAGTCCACCTTTGTAGCAGGAACATAACTTCAGTATGCACTCTGAGATGTATTTTTGGCTTTGGGAGTAAAATGGTTGTAAATTGATATTGTTCATTTTTATAACATTGAATATTGTCAAAATATTTGTTCTTTCTGGTGAGACATTGACCTATTGTTTTAAAAATAATCATTTGTGTAATGCTTTGCTGATTTTTCTCTGGATGATTTCTAAAAAGAGTAAATACACCTTTTCCAGATTTTTTTGGTTTGCTTGCTTTTATTTTTCAGGTTGGGGAGCCGTAAATGTAAGGGTTAGTTGGCATAGTTAAACGATTAATCTTTTTCTGTCTGAGAGAGCCAAGTTCATTTGCATTACAGATTTAAGACCTGGCTTATGGGCCAACACATTTGTGTAAAGTTAAGTATGAGCTGCAGTTTTTTGCAGGATCTGGGCCTGGCAAAGGCAGGGCCAGCTCTAGTTCCTATTCAAGTTAATAGTGACCTGATCATTTGTCCCCAAAAGTTCTGATCCATCACAGTATTTAAGAATGTGCATAGTCTCATTGAAATCAGTAGAGCTACTCACATGATTAAAGTTAAGGACCCACTGCTTTGCTTTGAGGCCTATGCACTACATCAGCTTTCAGTGGGAACTGTTGTGGGGTAAGCATTTTTTAAAAACTGAAGGCCTGATCCTGAAAATACTCATGCGGGTGCTCAACTATAAGCACATGAGTAACTGCTCATGTGCTTACAGTTAACCATCTGTGTAAGTGTTTGCAGCATTGGGGCCTGATTTAGGAGCCTAAATGAGGATTTAAGAGTCTGACTTAAGGCACCCATTTTTGAAAAAAACATAGCCACAACATCTGAAACTCACAAAAGGCTTTAGAACAATGTTATAAATCACAAAGTAAAAACATAAATGGTTAACATATTCTGCTTGCTGCAAAGGTTTTGTGCCTGAGAAGTGACAGGACCACAAAAGGCTCATTCATGCATCAATTCATAGACATTGCCTGATTTAAAATCTTTCACTGCTGATCTGACAATGCCTTTAGCAAACGTTTGTATATAGACTCAACTTTAACATTAAAATGTTCCATGACTTAACCTGGAATATGAAAGCTTGAATTAATTCTGCCTGAAGGGGAAAAAAAGTAGCTAAACTAAGCTGAATGCCCTTCAAATTCCACTCTCAAGAAGCTGTTAGTTTTTATTAATAAAGTGTCTAAATAGCGACTGTGTCAATTGACAAATGTATAAATCCCTAGACAATGTCTACTTTTTTAAAAGTTTTACAAATCAAGCTGAAATTTGGACAGAAAAACATGCAACAATGAACAGGTCTTTTGCTGTATGAACACCTAGGGCTCGTCTACACTGGCCCCTTTTCCGGAAGGGGCATGTTAATTTCAGCTATCGTAGTAGGGAAATCCGCGGGGGATTTAAATATCCCCCGCGGCATTTAAATAAAAATGTCCGCCGCTTTTTTCCGGCTTTTAGAAAAGCCGGAAAAGAGCGTCTACACTGGCCCCGATCCTCCGGAAAAAGCGCCCTTTTCCGGAGGATCTTATTCCTACTTTGAAGTAGGACGCTTTTTCCGGAGGATCGGGGCCAGTGTAGACGCTCTTTTCCGGCTTTTCTAAAAGCCGGAAAAAAGCGGCGGACATTTTTATTCAAATGCCGCGGGGGATATTTAAATCCCCCGCGGATTTCCCTACTATGATAGCTGAAATTAACATGCCCCTTCCGGAAAAGGGGCCAGTGTAGACGTAGCCCTATTGTTTTTCAGCATGGGATAGCTGCATCTTTCTGCTGGTTTCTGAGACTCTAGGTCTATTCACTAATGATGCCCTGCCCATAGTCCACTTTTTATGTATCTGTCTCCACAGAGGGCCCATATGAAGATGCATGAAAGAAGCTCTCTCCTTGAGGGATGTGAATTAAATAGTGACTTTCCTGGCCAGCCACCACTGGTAAGGTTTCTATGAAACTTAGAATTAGAAAGTCTACCAAATGTAATGCCAGAATATAAAGCTGTCCTTCACTGGTGGAACCTCTGTACAAGGGCACTGGGGATACTGCTTCCTGGGAACAAAGCAGTCCCTCTTTTGTGCAGGTTCCTCCATGGATGAAAAAGGCTAATTCATTCCTAGGATGTAACAGGCGAGGTATTTCCAGTAGAGACTGTTATAGAAGGCACCGGTGAGCCCTCATAGGTAATAGCATGTGCAATTCTGATCTCCCATGTTTAAGAAAGATTAATTCAGACTGGAACAGGTTCAGGGAAGGGCTACTAGAAGGATCTGAGGAAAACCTACCTTATGAGTGATAGAAATGTAGCCGTGTTAGTCTGGTGCAACTGAAACAAAAAACAGGATTATGTAGCACTTCAAAGACTAACAAGTTGGTTTATTAGGTGATGAGCTTTCGTGGGCCAGACCCACTTCCTTAGATCAAATAGTGGAAGAAAATTGTCACAACCATATATACCAAAGGATACAATTTAAAAAAATTAACACATATGAAAAGGACAAATCAAAGTTCAGAACAGAAGAGGGATGGGGGGGAGGTAAATGTCTGTGAGCTAATGATATGAGAGGTGATAATTGGGGAAGCTATCTTTGTAATGGGTAAGATAATTAGAGTCTTTATTCAAACTTAGGTGTAAAAAGGCCTTTTAAGACTACACTTGAAAGAGAATCCTCTGAACTGTCATTCATGCTTAAATTCGACACTTTACACGTAAGTTTGAATAAAGACTAATTATCTTACCCATTAGAAAGATAGCTTCCCCAATTATCACCTCTAATATCATTAGCTCACAGACATTTACCTCCCCCCCGCATCTCCCTTCTGTTCCGAAGTTTGATTTGTCCTTTTCATATGTGTTCATTTTTTTAATTGTATCCTTTGGTATATATGGTTGTGACAATTTTCTTCCACTATTTGATCTGAGGAAGTGGGTCTGGCCCACGAAAGCTCATCACCTAATAAACCATCTTGTTAATCTTTAAAGTGCTACATAATCCTGTTTTTTGTTTCTCCTTATGAGTTGAGACTCAAAGAGCTTGGCTTGTTTAGCCTAAGCAACAGACAGCTGATGAGTTGCCAAAATATTCAGGGTCTAACTAACCATCATATTTGCAATTGGGAAGGAATTTTTCCCTGGATCAGATTGGCAGAGACTCTGGAGGTTTTCCACCTTCCTCTGAAGAATGGAGCCAGGTCACTTGCTAGTTTAAACTGGAGTAAAAGGAGCATTTTCTGGAGCTTAAAGTCTTTAAAGCATTATTTGAGCACTTCAGTAACTCAGCCAAAGGTTATCGGTCTGTTACAGAAGTAGGTGGGTAAGATTCTGTAGCCTCCAATATGCAGGAGATCAAAACTAGGTGATCATGATTGGCCCTTCTGGCCTTAAAGGCTACGAGGTCCAATTTATCTTCATACCTCTTCCACCACTACTATATATACAAGAGTAAATCTGGCCCAGTACATCCAGTGTCTCGTAGTTTAAGCTCAACAAATGGTGTTCCAGTTTAATCAGAGATAGAGAGTTGCATAGGTATTCATTTTTAATTGAAAGTTTAAATTCTACAGCAGTATGGGATTACGCAAAAAAATAGGACCAGACTATGATTAAATGACTATTTTAAAAACTAATTTAAAAAAAAACAGAACATTTCCAAGAAGACCACCTATATTAAGAAACTCAGATTAAATCTTAAACACCATCCTTCATTCCCCAGTTAAGTGTTTTCTTCAGTTTAAACAGTATTTTATAAATATACATTAAGGAAGGGTAAAATGTGTAACACTTTTACAGGGGGGGAACATCCTGTCTTTCATTAATTTTTGGATTTCTCCAATGTTTTATGGGGCGGGGAACATCCTGTCTTTAATTTTTGGATTTCTCCAATGTTTTATGCTTTAAAATAATTACTTACTCAGATTATATTTTTATGCATATCAATTCATCATTTGAAATCTGGATTTGTTCAACAAATCTTTAAGGTCTGAAAGATTTACAGCATTTTTTAGAGAGAGAGAAAGAAGTGTAATAAACTAAATAGTTACTGTTTTCTTCAGTGATTGCTGCATGAAATATGCCTTTGAGAAAGAAAGCTTACCTTGATTTTGAGATAATGTTTTGGCCCTTCCCATTATTGTTCTCAAAAGCTATCATTTATTCTAATATATACAAACCAATGTATACACTAGATATCCAACATATTATTTCTTGCTTTGTACCTTATAACATATAAATTACCAAATACATCCATGACTCTCTTTGAAATGCTAGTTGACGAAGACAGTTGTGTATTACTTCCTTCCTAGCAGCCTATTAGTCTGTTGGGGTGGGGGAAAGTCCCATGATCTAAAATTCAAAAGTCTTGACACAGAGTAATTCTGATATTGCTGCAAATTTTTAGCAAAATTGCCTTTTAAAGGGGTTGCCAGACTTACTCTAGGGGAAAAATGAGGACAAATAAAATGAAAGTGGTAGGGGAAAAAAAAGGTTAAAAAACACACGTGCACACTCAAAGAGCCTGACAGTTTATATGTGTTTCTCTGAGCAAAACTGAGTTTAAAAAAGAAAGGCCAGGAAATGACTGTCCTCAATAAAATAAACATTACATAAACCTAGGACCATCTTTTCAGTTAGAATCCTCCCTCCACTTCTAGTCACCTTCTACATCCTTCCCGTTCAGCCTTTTTGTTCTCAAGTCTGTTGATCTGCACTACTCACCAACAACTGCATTTCTGCTTTCATTCTCTCATCTTCCCTTCCCACTGCCTATGCTTCTACCAAACCTTTCTCCTAAATAGCTGTCTGGCATCTTTCCATCACGGTCTTCATCAAGCCTTTTTCCATGCAATGCTTGCCAACATCTGGAACTCTCTCCCTCTTCTTTATTTCCCAAATGACCGCTCTCCCATTCAAGACCAACACCTGGAAACTCATTTATTTGAGAGAAACCATACACACACACCAAAAAAAAATGAAATAATACTGTACAGGAGTTCAGAAAGATTGTTTACTTTCCTTAATTCTAGGTGCAGCATATGGGGCTTTCTACCCAATGTATGCCTATAGAAAAAGAAAGCATGCTTTTTCCAGGTGTGTGTTATGTTTGTAACCATGTTTGTGATGCTGTATGGAATGTGGAGGACACTTTAGGTTAGGGCTACTCAATATGCAGTCTGTGGGCCGCATGCGGCCCATGTCTTGTTTGCGGCCCATGATGCGGTCTGGGTTTATGTAGGGCTCAATACATGGCCCGTGAGTGGGATCCTTTGCACATGGCCTCCACTGGGAACACGCTTCACAACGGTGAGTCAATATAATGGTTTTCTCTTGATAAGCGTTTTAGTAGTTAAATTCCTGGACTGTCATTGCTCATGAAAAGTGCTGGCATATGGGTGAAAATCAGGTAAATATTGCATTTTATTAATATCAGGAGAACTGACTTAAATGTGTAGTCTTGCCTTAATCTTTGTACTCATGTCCGTCAGTGGGAAAGAAGTAATTTGCATATATTTGCATATGTATTTGCAATCAGTGGGAAAGAAGTAATTTGCATATGTATTTGCATGTATATGCAGCCACACTTAAGTTGCGGCCCTTGGCATGT